CATTCAGAGTTGTTTGCGAATATTCAAGTTGTCACGAAGAAGAACCACCCACACAAGAGCGTTTAACTGAACAAGATCTCGGCCGTGATATTCGCGTGCAGCCAAAACGTGTATGTGAATGATTTAGGCGTTCAAGTTTAACGAGACTGAGATTACTGAGGTCTGTTCACGTAGGGTATCGCTATGGTTGTGTTTTGACAGGTGGACGTATGCATTTCCCATGAGGCAAACACGCGTTTGTTTTATGAGAGATTCCATTATAAGCTTAACTAATTACGCTATAAAACAACCGACTCGTTGTAACGACCAAGCGTTTTTTCACGTTTGTAACAGGTCGGATCGNTTATAAGCTTAACTAATTACGCTATAAAACAACCGACTCGTTGTAACGACCAAGCGTTTTTTCACGTTTGTAACAGGTCGGATTGCTCACANAACCGACTCGTTGTAACGACCAAGCGTTTTTTCACGTTTGTAACAGGTCGGATCGAAATTGCTGTTGCGAACCCGTACAAAACAGCGTCAGATTTAGATAACCGGATCCAAGTGGAATCGCACAAAAATTATATTTCAATATGCTTGTTTAAAGTAAAATGACTGTAGTGTGTCTAGGATTTTTTGCATCCTAGGCGGAGATAGTCATATGAAAATCATACACACATACAACTAATGCATAATTAGCAATAATCCTTTACGAGCTACGTGACTGTAAATTAGGATGGACTTGTGTGACTTATTTATGTGCTCCATAATTTATAGCACACAAATAAAAAATAGGTTACGTGAATCAATCCCGTAACCATTAAACTATGTCTGCGAATTGATTGATGGCGCCTCATCAAAAATTTTACACTGGAATCATTACTGGTTGGTTATTCAATGCTTACTTTGTTTTTTATATTCATCATTTAAACATGCCAAGCTGGACTTAATAAAATTCAATGTACACGGAGGTAACATATTAGATATAATCAACCTGGGGAGGGTGATGTATATTTATAATGCACATTACACCAACTATTTTGAAATTTTGGAAATATATATATATTATTTTTAAAAACAAATTATAAAAATATGATTATAACGTAGCCTAAGAATGCATGTCATATAAAACATTTTTACGATGAAATGTTAATTGTATCAAAAATTATTTGAGCTGTCAGTTAGATTATTTCCTCTCTATACTCTGTATAAACATATTTTACATTTGTCACGTGACACATTAATATCTATAGCCACAGTTAAATTGATTTTTTTAAAAGAGTATTAGACTTTATTGTTTAATTTGGCTATAATTAGCTTTTTATGCTACTCGTTCATCATTATGTGTTACTGTTGTAATAAAAAATTGATACAAGTTGGAGTTGTCTTAATAACAATTATATAAAGTGTTTATTTTTTTAGCTAATACTATAAGATTCATTATATTGTATTATTAGTCAAATTATGATTATTAATATAATATATTTATAATCACATACAGGTAGGTGACATTAATGAATAGATACAATTATTTGGCTTTCGGAGATGAAATACCTTCAAGTTTAAAACATTACTTTCATCTATGACTTATTAACTAGTTAAAAAAAATATTTAAAATTTGCCCTTCCATAAAATTGACCTGCAAACAACATAAGAATAAATTAGCTTAAGAGTAAAAAAAACGGACATCCTAAAAATAAAAATAACAAAAAATATATACATATTTAGGAATTAAATTTCATGCTCTATTCATTAGAGACGATGTATTTTTATATAATAAAAACGTAGGAGAATTGTTGTAAAAAATAACTATTGTAAATCTGCATACATATAAGCGAAATCGTAATTAATACCATCAAGGTCGTGTATTCGACGGATTAATAATTATAATTGTCGATTATTTACAGACGGCAACACACTCATAGCCATAGGCGTCAATTTCAATATGTACTTAAGAACGTTACGTGCGCATAGTGTAATAACAAGTGTGAATTTTTTAGTAAAACAAATAAGGTTTGATAAATAAATGATCAATATTGTTTGTTTAACTGTTACATGCCTACCGATTTAATAAAATTTAACTACTAATACAACTCATTAAACATTTCCTACAATCTCTAAACCGATTACTTTTATAGACTCGTATTCTTATTGTACTTTTTCCATGTTTAAATTACATTTACAATTCATAAATTTTATATATATATATTTTTTTGAACGTTTGATCTAAAAGTTATTATACGTTTTGTCGGTTAAATATTAGCCGACATAGTGTTACCCATAGTGAACATTCTATCAAATAATTTTTTTATCCTAAAATTTTGTTTTTTTTTGTTCTAATCACCACCATTCTTAAATAGGAGCATACTTACTTTATAATAACTCAATCAACCCGTTAATATTCCATGTATTATTAGATACTAAAATCCTCTGTGAAATATGCATTTATTTAAAACTATCATTGTACTGTTTATAAATACATACCGCAATTTTTTTTTAACGTGTTGACGAAGAAAAAGCAGAGAGAGATCCGGTTAAATGTTTTACTTATTGGCATACAATATGAGAATACAATGACGACCATTGAAATAATAAAGTTTACGGTCCATTACATGCGACGATTTTATTTTGAATATTTTATACTATGAAGACTGAGGCAAAATTTTTTAACTAAACGAGAATAACGGTTAAGCCGGAAGTCCTTTTGTCTAATAGTAAAAGTACAAATACAAAATAAGTATTGTTATACTTTAAAATGACCATGTCATCCGAAAATTCCCAGGTATCTACCGAATAGTTTTGGATGACGCCTGAAAAACAATAACTGTTACTTTTAATAATTATTATCAACAGTAAAATACAATAGTGAAACAATTAAAGCATAATTCAACAAACAAGTTAACTATAAATGCTACGAAATAACTATTGTTTAAATTATATAATTACAAGAAGGGTTATTTTTGGAGAAAATTGAATCATTAAAAACTCTAACAACCAAGGCCGGTCTTCCTAAGAACAAAAAAAAGTTATGTCTACAGTTCTTGAAAAAATTGGACCAATAAATTTCTGGTATAATAAAATATACTTTACGAAAATCCATGTTCGGGATATTTTTTAGAGAGGTTATTGTATCTTACAAGTAAACGTCACAAATGGATGAATGGAATATCAGGTTAAGATATGCGTGATTCGATAGTATTGTTTGTCAAATGAACTTGAACAAAATTTTAGGTGCTATGGTTTGAGAGTGAGGAGATATAAGCTATGTTAATATGAGAACACATGGAATTTAATATTTTTTGTGCTATTTATCATTTTATATTATTTTTGTTCGTTGAACTTTACTAAATTATGAAATATTTAACAGTTCTACAATAGTTGAAGAGTTATTGTTATCACGATGTAGTTATTATATAGTTGAATTTTATATTGTGAAAATATATTTTAACTACTTTAGATCTTCTTAATATTTTGCAAGGGAAGTGTTAGGCATATGGTGGGAGAATTTAGCTCGACAGTTTAAATTTAGTAGCACTAAATATTAAAAAAAAAAATTATGAAACTTCATAAAAAAATATTTTTAAGGGGGAGAAAATGAGATTTAGTCTCATCAAAATATTTTCAACTATACGCCTTTGAAGTATGATTTAATTATTAAAAATTATGAATAGCCCAAAAAACGACAAATTCCATACGTCCACAAGTTCAAATTAATCGCTAATATCTTCTCGTCCCTCAGTCCTCAGTTCATAGTACCTAAAATTTTGGTGGAGTTGATTTGACAAAAACAATACTATTGAATAGCATATGTTCAGTGGCGTATTAAAGGTCTAAATGCCCCGGAGCAGTTTGTATTTGATGCTTCTCCAAAATTTTTGTTGAGCAAAAATAAAAAATTTTTTTCAGCTACCCCGAAAAAAATATTTAAAAAGAAAATTAAAATATGCATAAACGCAAGAATATTAATTATAAATAACATTGCATACATTTCTACCCGAGTTTTATCAGGTTCATCGGCTATGACGTTTCCAAAAGATTCAGGGGCTCCCTTTTCGTTGTGCTCTGGGGTAGCTGCCCCAAGTAGCCCCTAATGTAAACATCTCACTGCATAGGTTTCAACCTGAAACCTCATTCATCGCTTTGTGATGTTCACTTGTTAGATTACATGATTACTTTTGTCATAAAGGAGTGTAATTCCTTTCCAACTTAGGGTACGCCTTTTTGTAAAATATCTTAATTGCTCTTTCGTGGCAGTCGCAGCTGTTATCACGTTATTTGTACATCTGTCAGATTATTTGTAGGATATCCAGCGCACAATTAAAAACGACTGTGCGAGATTAAAATTTCGTACCAGGAATTCATAAGGCAACGCGCAAAGAGTTTTCTGATTAATACTTTCGACCGATGTCGGTATTCTATAACAAATGTCAAAATCTAGTACCAGGAATTTATAAGGACATATTATGTCCAGGTGTCTCGGAAAGGAGCATTTTGTTAGCTATTTAATGGTCACTTCCATAATTCTGTAACAAATTATAATGCTACCAGTCGATAATTCTCATGAGTTCCTGGTACATAAATTTTAACACAATTTATGATGTTCATACATTGCGCAATTAATATATTTGATAAATTATTACCCGGTTTTCAATCAGACCCATGTGAATCATACGTGGCTCCCAAAAAACGAATTCCGTCTGTTCTTGTTACATAATAATTTAACAATAATTAAACGGTTATATACAAGTTTTTCAAAGAAAAAATTAGATGTAATTATGTAGAAACGTACTTGGGATAAATATTATTTAGGACAGGCCCAGTTATACGCTGGATACGCCGCTGTAATTATACTATGGTATTATTTTTTGGGGGCTTAACACTTAAAATCCTTTAAATTCTAGACATTAATGGCTGCTAACAAATGCAACATTAAAAAATATACTTTTCGTCATAATTAAGATTTAATATATGCGTTCTTTATGAAAATAGCTAATAAGTTTATACGACTTTTGTTTTAGGTTAATCATATAATCTTAAACGAAATATTTTTTACTTAAAAGTTAACGAAATGGTAAAGCGAGTCAGTAAACATCATTATGTGGCCACGCCGGGTGAAAATAGACACCGTCATAGATCATCAGAAACATTGCCGTACGTTCATCGAGGGTACTCCACTGATGGTAAATATTATAGTTTAATTACTATCTTAAGAATTAATTGATCCGGTGCATAGAAAATTATTTAATTAGACATTTATTTATTACATAAAATTATTATTCATTGAAATTTTAATAAATATATAAAAATGCCAAACAGAGGAGTGGCTTCAACGACAAGGCTTTAATAGATGATGATGATAAAAATGTCCTTCAGTTTTTTTTATCAATCTTATATAGTCGATTAAATAAAATTTGAATAGTGTAAATTAATCAGTATAATAATAAATGCAAGTCACGCATATTTTAGGCGAAGATAGTCAAAGAACGTTATCAGAGTACACCATTGCGACCGATAGACCTTCATCGCGCGGTCATCGGACTCCTAGATCTAAAAGATCTCGAAGTTTAGAGAGACCATCGAGTAGTTCCAGGGCTCGGTCAGCAGCCAGTCATCGAGACTCGGATGTTTATGTGACCAGCGGTGTCTATAGACCGCCATCTGAAATGAGGTGAATAATACAAACTGTGGTAATACATATGGAAAATAATTTAATACGATACGAAATTTCAGCCGAGGTTCTCATTACACGAATAAGAGCAATCGAAGTAGAGGGGCTCCCAGTCACTATTCGTACAGAAGTAACGGCAGAGCACCGTCCGAAGTTTCCACTGTAAAGTCTAAGATAACGCGCAAACCAGGCGTTACCATAGAAACCATGTCAGCACCTAACCCGTTTTGTCCAAACACCAAGGGTATGTGTTGTTTAATGTTATTGCTCAACTTAGGACTGATTTTGGTCACGCTGGGATTTGTGATCGTTATTCAGTTTTTCGAACCTCTTTTTGTTTGGTAAGAAAACACTATCATTTTTATATATTGAATATTTTATGCTTTGATATTATTAACTATTGCATTTTTTTTAGGGTACTTGGTATCGTGTTTTTAATATTTGGATTTTTAACACTCATGGGTAGTCTCATTTATTGTGTCACTGTCTGTAGAGATGCCAAAACCCCAAAAGAAGTCGCTATGCAGAATCACTATTGGACACATCATTGGCAAAAGAGTTTTGGTGCAACACCTGAAATACATTACAAAACAGAAAAATATCCGCCACAGCCCATTCATTCAGACCATGATGAATACAGCGATCGCTTTTCTATTGGCAAGCATTCAGACCGGCATATGAATGGACGAAGATATTAGTTATTAATAATAAGCAATAAATTATGCAATGTAAATAAATTTTATATAAAATGAAATGTTATACTTTATATTTATTGTTATAGATGTTTAAATACTTTTTTAATTTCTTTTATGGTAGATAATTTTAAGTTATTGTGATAAGAGTAACTTGATTGAAAATATTTCAGTTTTACTAATGAATACTAAAAATATAAATTTTGAGATTTTTTTCTGAATATTTAAAAAAATTCAGGTTGTCAACATCCAGATAAAACTTTTTCTTTTTGAGGCTACAAAAACATTAAACGTAAAAAATATCTATAATTGAATGAAACAATAAAATAAATTTCCGTTGTGTTCATAATATTGTTATAAATTAAAATTTTATTTCAAAAATATAATAACTTTTTAATGTTCCATTGAACTATTTGAATGGTAGAAAATTATTTGTATACAATTTTAATGTAAAATGCAATATTGTAATGTAAAAAATACCTAAACACATTAATTTATGTACAACTTTATATTTTATTTAAATTAAGAATAAAAACTTTTACAAAATGTTATAAATTATTTGTAAAATTAATTTATATTTAATAATAAACAAACTATGTTTTTAATTACTAGAGGTATAGTTTGTCAAAAACTAAATAAGTGATAAGAATCATAATAAAAAATATAAATAATTATTACAAATTTAAAGTAAAAAAATTAAGTGTAATATTCAATTTATGTCTGATATAAAACATAATATTCATAATTTACTCAATATAAATTACATGGGTATTTTGTTAAAAAACATCAAACATAACTAACATTAAAAAAATTGTACAAATTTAAAAAAAAAATGAAATAGGTATAGAAAACCACTACCGCCTGAACATTATTTATTAACTTATTCCATAAGAATATTTTAAAATAATAAGGCTTATAAGAAAAAAAAAATTATTAAATAATGTCTTATCATTAAATAAAATAAATCTTATTTCTTAGTAAGATTAAACACTAACTTTACATAAATGTTATTATTTAATCAGAGTCTGAATGAAATGAAGATTTAGCTTTAACTTTTTTGGCAGGTGGTTTTTTGGTAGTAGTTTTTGCTGGAGCTTTCTTTTTCGCTGCTAAAAAAATAATTAAAATATTAAAATTAATATTTAAAAATAGTAAGCATTGACTTATATTTCTGGATAGAATATGATATAAAATAAAAAAAAAACATTACTTTTAGATTTAGGAACGAATTCGTCATCCGATTCATTAGACATAATAAAGTCATCATCGTCATCAGAGGCTTGTTTTTTGAGATTGGATTCCCCAAAAAGATCGTCAAAAGACTTTTGAGGTTTATCTAAATAAAATAAGTAAGAGCAATTAAAATTTAAATAATTAATATAGTATGTTAAAATTAAATATAATTGAAATCTAGATAAAGATACTTAAGTCATAATAAAATAAACCCATTATTGACTAGATGCGTTACTGTAGATGTACTGAAATAATTTACTTATACATACTATTACTATTATTTGGAGATTTGAATATATCATCTGAATCATCTGAAGAACTATATTTACGCTTGGGCTTTGATGCAGCTGCTCTTGGTTTTTTTTCTGGCTTAGATACAGGTATATCACTGTCATCATCACTAATTTCAATAGCAGGTTGTTTTTTAGCTGGTGCTTTTTTAGTAGGTGGTTTAGAATTAGGGCTGCTTGTTGTAATACCAGGACCATTCTTTTTAGTAGATGCTTTTTTAGGGGCTGGTTCTTTTTTAGGAGCCTTTTTAGGAGATTCCTTTTTCTTTTTTGGAATAAAATCATCATCGTCTGACATTAATCTGAAAAAAAAATTAATTATATAAATATTTTATATTTAATACCACAATAAAATTATACTTCATTATTATACTAACTCATCCGAAAATACATCTCGCATAGGAGAAGTTTTGAAACTATTAGCACTATGATCTGACTTATTTCCTGGATCATCTTCATCACCACTTTGATCATCAAATTTGAAAGATACATTTGCAGCTAAAAAAATATTTTATTCAACNATACATTTGCAGCTAAAAAAATATTTTATTCAACATTCATCTGGATAATATGTATGAGGTAAACAAATTAAAATATATATAAATTATTTTTATATATTAAATCTAAAATCATAGATAAATTTAATTACCTGCTTGTCGTTTAGACACAGTTCTTGGGGGTGGAGGCGGAGAATCAGATAAGTTTCCATTATCATCTTCATCACCAGAATCTTTTTTGCTAAATTTAAGTTTTGTTTGTTTTAAACCATCAGTTTTTTTTCTAGGTACTTTTTCTTTCTTTTCTTTTGGCTCCTTCTTCTCTTTTTTAATTACTTCACCATCTTCTCCAATTTCTTCACCTTTTTTCTAAATAATAATTATAATATATCATTAATAATTTGTCTTTAATAATAATGAATTATAACTTTTAAAAATGTAAGAAACATTAATCATTATATGCTAATATGTTTACATATTATTATTTAAAAAATTATTATAATAAGATTTCTAGTTATTTCAATAAAAAATTCTATAATCTGGATGTATTTTAGTCAAGATAAACTAAAAAAAATTTAGTTATTTGGAAAAACTATTTTTTTTTTATATAAAATTGTAGTTTTTAAAAAACGTTTTTTCTTTTTTTCTCATTTATTCCAAATAATTGAGGTCAGCCACCGATATCCTGAACCTTCACTAAACATGATACACACATCAGCAATCTTTATATCACACCCAATTACATCCAACCACTTCTTTTTCAGTTTTTCATTTCCTCTAATTTTTTAGTTATTTTAGTATTGCTTTTATCTAACAGAGATGCGGTTTATAAAATAAAGTAAAATAAGTTATAAAATCACCCAATAAAATAAAAATAATTTCATACTCTAAAATCATTTCTATCGTTTGCACCATTGGGATATTGAAAAAAAAAATTTGTTAAATTTTTTTTTAAATGTTTCTTGTAAAAAAAGGTATATTTGATATTAATAATTTACCTTAAACCAATAATTTCACGTTTTTATTAAAAACCTATGTTAATGGTTTGTTTGTACATTATCAATAATTTTATATTAAAACAAATACCAACTTTAAGATATACATTTCAATTTGATACATTTTTTTAACTTATTAATACATTTTATTTGAGTAAATAATATATTTAGAAATCTATCTAATGCTGTTAATTAACAAATAAAAAGCAAACTTTAACACCTAGCTTTAGAAATAAATGATGATTTATATTACAATAAATATTCCATACCTTTTTTTCAGCACGTTTTCCCTTATTTTCTTTAGCAGCTATTAATTTTTCTTCCTTTTTCAACATTTCAGCATCAATTTTAGGAATGATTCGTCTAGCAGCTGGTGAAGGTAAAGAATCAGCAGCTAAAAGTAATTTTTTCTTTCCTACAGCTGGTAATTTAGAGCTTTTTGGTCCAGTTTTAAATTTTCCTTCACCTGCTTCCTCTTGTCTTTCTTTTTCTTCAACTTCTTCCAACTAATTAATAATATATAATTTTCATCAGTTAAAAATTATGAAAAAAACAATTTTTGAAAGAATTATTTTTGTAAAAATTAATTTATACAAGCAAATAGTTTGGTATTTAATAATTAATTTAAAACTAAAAAATATTTAATTTAAAAAAATCATTTACAAAAAAAAAACCAGTATCAAACACAAACAATATATATAACTATTAGAATAGTAGTCAATATTTTATAATTACTTTTTCAAGAAAAGCATCTAAATCTTCAGTCCAGAGGTCAGAAGGTGTTTTTTTCTTTAAGATATCTAATTCAGTACATTTTTCTTCTTTTTTCCTTAGAAGTTCATTCTTTTTCTCCAATGTTAGATGCCAGAATGACATACCAAGTAAATAATCAAAGTCCAAGTCATCGTCTTTTGTAGATGCATTGCTAACTGATGGTATTGATTCATCTTCTTCAGTTTCTTCAGCAGCTTGAGCAGCTTCATCCTCCTAAAGCATAAATGTTATATTTTTAATATTATTAGTTATGAACTCTACAATAATAATAATTCAACTTTAAGGTTATTATATTAATAACTCATATACTGAGTGATTAATTAACTATGCCTAACACAAGAATTTTAGAAATATAAAATATTTTTTTTTCATTAATTAATAGTATCCTATGTTCTATATTTTTCAAAAATAAATTTTAGTCATATCCCTCTTTCACCACTTTAAAATAGTAATAACTTAAGTTTTTATTATGGAACATATATTTTTAAATAGCTTATATATAAGCAAATTGTTTAATTAAGAAAATTACTGATCATTAACATTTGAAATATTTAATATTTACTATAAATACTGGAGATGAAGTGCAAGTATGTATATTTTTTATTTCTAGACATTAATGAACCACACTACTCATCCTGTCCTAGTATAAAAGTGCTAACATTTCTTAAAATACTATTTAATAATTAATATCGACTAATCATTTTATTATTTTTAAGCTAATTAATTATGTATTTTGCTATTCAAAAAATTAAAGTTAAAATTCTTATTTATATATGGGATAGACCTAAAAAATACTTCATAATTAATGTATCAATATATATTTTCAATTAAAAAACTTAAGTAAATGCCATTTTAATAGAGAGAGAAGGCATAGGATACAATTTTTTTTGAAAATTATAGAACATTGAATACTACTGTCTTCTGAAAAGAAAAAATTATAATATTTTATATACTTTTAAATATACTGTGGGAGGCATAGTTAATCAATCACTTTGTAATAGTGATAAGAATATCCCGATTTTCCCAAGTTCAGAAAACCAGATTTTTAAAATTTGAACATTGAAATCTGAATTTCAAATTTTCCTTTACAAATCCAGAAGGTGAAATTTTATTAATGGTTAATATAGTGACAACTACAATTAAGTTAGACAGTTGGAATAACAGAATATTTGATTAACCTAATCATTTATTTAGTTATTCACACTGATTTTATTAGAGTTGTCACTATCTATATTTACCATTAATATTTTTTTCGTAAAAATATTTAACCATTAAAAATTGAGAAATAAATACTTCTTAAATAAGCTAAAATTTTTTTAAATTATTATTTTAGAAGATATCTAGTGATCAAAAATAAATCAATCACTCTATATTAAAGATTAAAAGAGTTAAATGAAAGTTATAAGACCAAGTTTGAAGTTCAAACGGAATTAATCTATAAATTCCATTTCCTCATAAAATACAGATTTTTTTTAAATAGAAGTTTGAAATCTAAAATTAGGATTTAACAGATTTTAAGAAAAATTCTGATTTATATCCCAACACTACTTTGTATACAAATATATATATATATATATTATTAAAAATAAATTGTTTTATATGAGCTTTTCAAAAATTGTTGCTTAATGTTTCATTTATTTAATTAAATTAAAGCTCAATATAATTAATAGTGGCAGAAATTTTTTAATTATAGTTTTAATTTTAATGACTAATATTACGTAAATACATAAAAGTTGAATAAAAATTCAAATATCACACCAAAGAGACAATAAAAATTCTGTAGTTTTTAATCTCCACATTTTAAAATGTTAACAATTATAAATGGTTATGCTATTATTGTTCTTACCAATACTGACTCTCGATCTTGAATCAATTTCCAGGCTTTTACTGGGTCACTATTATAACCCCTTCTAACTAATTCCTTTACCATTTCACTTTTTTTCCGATTTTCAATCCTCAAATCACCATCACATTTTTCTACAATGAATCTATATATAAAAGAGGAGCATTAATAAGTATCTATCTAATAGAAAAAAAAAATTATTTATTTTACTTACCGAGCTTGATTGGTTAGTTTGGCTGCCTCTGCACCTAACATACCTTCCAAATAAGCTTTTCTTTTTCCATAAAACTCTAATCTAACACTATAAAATTCATGCATAATTTGTAAGCTACTGTCATATTTTTTTAAAACACAATCTTTGTCGAAAGCGCACTGAAAAATTTGTATGTTGTTGAAAAATATAATAATTAATATCTAACTTTTACCATTGAAGTTAAACTGAGGGAAGAATGTAACTTGAAAAATTTGTGGATTCCTTCATTTTCAGCTTTTTGGAGTTTTTGTGGGTTCATAGAGACAACAAACTTGATAGTGGTATCAGTGTTGTACTCTTTATAGTCACTATAATAGTACATAATAATGAAAATGTTTAATTACAATCTTATGTTAATACTTACGTAATAACTGCAGGGGATTTTTCACTATCAGCTAGCATAGTTTCCAAAACACTTTCCTTATAATTTTGAGTCCATACACCCACAGGTAACTCAGTTATTTCAACTTTGTTGTCTCTAATAATACCCACTTCACCACTACTAATGAATTTATGATCAGATAGTTTTTCAATATGACCTATGAAATTTTTGTACCATGGTTTCTAAAAATATAAAAATAAGCTTAAGAACTATAAAATGAAATTTTTTTAGAAGTAATTTATCATCTCATGAAAATAACTAGTAATGAGTAAAATTTTGAATAAATAACTATTATAATAATGACACTTATTTTATATACAAAGTAATAACAATTTCAAGGAATTTATTTGTTGACTTATTAAAGAAGTATTTATTTCTCAATTTACAAGTGGTTAAATTTTTTTTTAGGTTCATTCATTATCCCTTATAAGGGTACCAAATTAGTTTTAATGTTTACTAGTAAAATATGTAGCAATAAAAAAAAAAAAATTGGTACCCTTATAAGGGATGAACCGAAAAAACATTTAACCACTTGTATATTGAGATATAAATACTACCTTTCATAAATAAAAAAAGAATTTCTCAAAATTATTATTTTTTTAGAAGAAATCTAATGGTCAACGATAAATTGATCACGCCATAGGTAATAATTATTTAATAGCTTATTTAGTTAATAATTAAACTAACAATTAAAACAAGTTATAAAAATTAATTTTCAAATTAGTTATTTTGGTTATGCTAAAACTTGAGACAAAACACTTTAAAATTTACACCACAAAATTGATTGAAGATAGCAGAAAATAATCAAAAATTTATTTCAAAATCATATCTATGCTACTAACACACATTTTTTAAAAAATTTTGATACTTTTATTTGACAAGAAAAAGTATTCTAAAAGATGTGTTCTTTTAATAATGTTATTTACTAATAAATTTTGGAATAGTAAGTTTATAAAATGTTTTTAATTAAGATCTATATTTTAAATTTACCATTGGTAATGGTTCTTCTCCTCTGATCATTCGCCTTAGATTTTCAACTACTTCTCTTGGATTGTGATTTGGAATTTTTGTCATCCATCCAGTACCAATACCTTCAGCTCCATTGATTAAAACCATTGGTATGATAGGCATATACCATACAGGTTCAATTTTTTGATTATCATCTCGAAGATATGTTAATAAAGGATCATCATGCGGATGAAATATCAACCGTGTCAATGGACTAAAATATAAAGAATTTAATTTTCATATATACATTTGAATGATAAATAATACCTCAACATAGTGAAGATATATCTAGGACTAGCTGCATCTTTACCACCTTGAAGCCTAGTACCAAACTGACCAATGGGTTGAAGCAAATTAATATTGTTACTACCTACATAATTTTGGGCTAGATTAACAATTGTAGACATCAATGATGTTTCACCATGATGGTATGCTGAGTGTTCAGCAACTGAACCAGCTAACTGAGCAACCTTAATTTCTCGTTTGTCATTTCTTTTAAGACATGTAAACAAGACCTAAAATATTTTATAAGATTATAGTAAATGTTTCTTTTAAATATTTATTAATCAAAATATTAAAATAAATACTTTTCTAGAACCAGGTTTTAAACCATCAACAACTGATGCAATTGATCGTTCATTATCCATATTACTGAACAATACTAATTCTTTATTTACAAAATCTTTGTAAGTAACAGCTCTGGTATTTTTTTCATACAAATATTCCTCAGCCAGTCCAGCTTCTTTACGCCTTTTACTTTCAACCATCCAGTTTGTTAGCCATTCTTTACGAGCATCTACCATTTTTTTACTAAATGCCTAAAGTATTAATTAATAAATTTAATATATTACTTAGCATGAAAGCAATAAAAGTAAAAATAAAATTACCATTTCAATGTGTTCATCATCATGGGTACCTTCATATTTGAACAAAATCCTGTGTCTCCTCATATTTTGGAAATATTCTTTAGCCTCTTTAGACGTAGAGGTACCCAAACCTTTGTAGTACTTGATTTTATACTTATTCCAATTTCTCGTAGCTTCTTTCCATTCTTCAAATTCTGGTAGAGAATAAAAAGATAATTCCTCTTTACCTTTGGTTGCTTTTACAATAGGAGTAATAAATTCTTCTAAAAAGGGTAATTTTAATAATGATGGCCAGTTGTGATGAATAAAATTTATGATTAACCCTTTAATATGAGAACCATCCTAAATTTAATTACACGTTTCATTAGTAAAAATAATGATTTAAATACAATAAAATAATACCTGATCTTGATCAGTCATTATCATTAATCTACCATATCTTAAAGTTTTTAAATCTTCCATTGTTTCATACTTTTTCTTGTATTGCAACCCCACAATTTTTACAATATTATTTATTTCTGCATTTTCCATTATCTTAAATAGATATATTACATTTAAAAATACAGCTAATTCATGTTTAATACAATATATTACCTGTTTGTGAGAGGCTTCTCGCACATTTAAAAGTTTACCCCTAAGTGGAAACACACCATATTTGTCACGACCAACAACACCCAATCCAGATACAGCTAATGACTTAGCTGAATCTCCTTCAGTTAAAATAAGCGTACAATCAATCGAATTTTTGGTTCCAGCATCATTTGCATCTTCCAATTTTGGAACACCTTTAAGTTTACTCTGTTTTTTCCCACTTTGTTTTTGGAGTTGTGTTTGGGCTTTAAACTTGGCCCAACTAAGAACTGCTTCAACAACACCACATTTAGATACCTAGTACATGAATAATTATAAATTTATTACATAAGTAGTTTTTCTTTCAAATTGTTTAATGTTATTTTTACAGGGATGGTAGTAAGAGTCCAATTTACAAATATCATTCTAATAGAAATTAACAACTGGGATCAGGTAAACATTTGTGTATGAGACAAGAAGTCACTTAAGTTATTTCTCACTATCATTGTGTCATCAGTTGTGAATTATTTGCACTATACTTTTAATTTATATCTGTGTACTTTACCAACACCTATTTATAAAATAAATAATCAAAAAAACTTACACCAGTTACAAACTTTTCACTCAGTGAGCATTTCGATCCAAAACTTTTAACTTGCAAAGTCATGTGTTCTTTTGTTTGTGAATCAAATGTTGGGTTTACAATAAGACAATTTACAAATACCCATAGATGATTTTTGACTTGGTGGTTTTTTAAATCCATACCACCTTTATTACGTTTCTTAACAATATCTATTAGCTGTTTTACAATCATATCAGTTATGTAATCTACATGTCGTCCCCCCTAAAAATAATTTAATTAAATAATAATACATTAAAAATATTTCAAATATTCAAAGGCTGACAACTAAATTACTTTAGTTGTGGCAATACTGTTGACAAAAGAAACTTGTTTAAAACCAGTATCCGATAGTGTAACAGCAACTTCCCAACGAGCTCCTGCATTTTCATACACTACTTTCAAAGGATTTCCTATTTCATCTTCTTTTCCTTTTATATATAAATTAACATAATCTTGGAAACTTTTAACCTAAAAATAAATTTGTCTTAAAATCCTAAAATTACTTATTGATAAAAAGAAAACTAGTAAAGATTAATTATGTAACTATTTAACATACAGGCAACAATTTCCCATTTAAGTATACTTTGACACCACGAGTAGAAGCAGCTACATCATAAGCACGTCTTGACATCAGGTCAACAATATCTTTATCAAGACAAGTCATTTTAAATTTTTCTAAATCAGGACTAAATGTCACTTTGGTAAAATCATTAGTTTTTACTTCTTTAATACTAGGATCAGATGATTTTGCCATATTATTAGCCCAAGTCTAAAACAATATAAAATAATTTATTATTGAATAATAATTCCATAACAATAAATGTACAATCCATTACTTGTTTAAAAGCTTTATGGTATTCTCGACTAGCAGTTTCTACAGTAAATTTGTTACTGAATATATTACAAAGTTTTGCACCAAAACCATTTCTACCACCTGTTACTTTAGCTTCTTCATCATTATAGTTAGAGCTTGTCAATAAATGTCCGAATATCATAGTAGGTACGTACATTTTTTCATCTTTATGTTCTACTACAGGAATACCTTGTCCATTATTCCAAACAGATATGATATTGTCTTCTCTATACACAAAAATTACCAATTTAATTTTTTATAAAAAAAAAACCTACACAGTTCTAAAAAAATGCACCTAAAAAAACTAAATAAAAATAAATTTGTTGTTATAAAAAATTATATTACATTTTTTTTTTGCATTTTTCAGTAATGCAAAATTACCAGTAATTTATTTTTGGGTGGTAATTTTTAACAAGCTTAGAAAATTATATTAAGTTATTTAAATTTAATGATTATTGTTTATCATCACTTTAATTTATTTGAAATAACGTATTTCAATTAAGTCTAATCATTAAATTAATAATAATACAGAATCTACCTTAATTCAAATCAAACAATCAGTCATTAATAATAATTAATACATTTAAGGAATAAAATAATAATTCAACAAATTAATTAGTTAAAATACTTTACCAAAGTAATATTACTGATTTATATCATTAGATGTAATATATAATAGTATCATGTCTAAAAATTGAAGTTATTTATTTATTGTGTGGTATGGAATCTGTTTTTTTTCATTAAAAACTAATATTACGTTTATCTATAATTCTATACATATATATACTGTCATAAAAAATTGTTTTGATGTAATGGTTATTACTTTATTTCCAATTAGCAAGGATATATTAAGTGAATATACCAAATTAATAATATAGGCAGTCAAATACAGCAAGTATACTATAGAAATATAATAGCCCGACAATAACCTGCCATTTTAAATAATTTTATGTATACAATAAAATATTTCTGCAGTAAAAGTATGAAAAAATTAACATTTATTAAAATATAAACAATCTAAATGAAGCATTTCAACAGAGCAGAATATGATATTTAACTTTTATTAAAAATAAACAGACTATTCTAGACTAGTGACAACGTTTGTAATAAAACTAAATAAGAAAACTTTACCCTTATTAAGCATTATTATTTGAGTAGAAAAAAAAATTACACTTACTTATTGATATCAACTTTTATGGTATCCATGGTCGGATCACGTTGTTTATTATCAGCAGCATTTACCAAAATTTCATCAAAGATCTTGTACAATCCTGGTACATAAGTTATTTCTCTTTGAACCATTGAATTTTCTTCAGTATCATATACCCACATATTTTCTGTTACGGGTTCGACAGAACCTAAACATTTTATATGAATAATTAAATAGAGAACAAATCAATGAGTGTTTAAAATTTTCATTAAATTAAAATTTTGTAAGTAACTAACCAATATAAGTATCAGGTCGCAGTAATATGTGTTCAAGCTGTGATTTTTTTTGATAAATTTCTTCAACTGCTGTTTTCTTTGATTTGTTAGTGGGAGCTTCAACAGCTCCATTTTCCATAGTCGCCATTTTGGAGACTGAAGTAAAGTTTTCTTTTTTAGATAAATCTGTAAAAACAATTAATTTAGTGTTTAATTACCGTATACTGAATTGGAGTAAAATCATTTTTATATATTAAATTCTCTGAGTAAAAATTGATCTAAAGATGTTCACAACTAACTTATTAATTGAGGGCAATTTTAAATAAAAATTAACCTTGAAAGAGTGCAAAAATCCTAACGTCGGTCAAGGTCTTAATTAATAGGTATCACATAAAACGTACTGAGAACTTTACCAACACCAACAATTGAAATTGATCTCAGGAACCGGCTGAATAACATGCAACTCGAAGTTAAAGTCACAAAATTGAGCAACTATTACAACAGTTTTGAATTATTTACCTGTTAATATTTGTTATTATTGAGTTTTTACACGAAGATCATTTACAGTAGTTCATTACCGACGTAAACAATGCTGATAGACAGCGGCTAGCTGTCGTTGTCAAAATATTTATATGAGAAAATAACAATAAAAACTCTAAATCACATATATTATAATAACAATTTTTAAAAGTGTACCAAATTGGACAAGACGGTACACACAACAAAATAACACGATGAAAAAAATAACCGTTTTCGAAAGATGGCGGCCGGTCGACAAAGCCAATTGCCGGGAGAGCAAATCTACTAACTACGCATGCGTTACAATTTTTTCATTGACAACGCACGCGTAGATCCGTAAAGATCTAGTCACAAAATCAAAAGTGAATAATATTAGTGTTCATGAGATATCATTTTGGCGGGAAAGTTTAACAGCCACAATACATGTGATTATTCACAGGTTGATTAATAATTAGTGATGGGCATAATCAAATTATTGAATACAAGAGGATCTTTTGAAATTATAATCGTTTATCCGTTTGATAAAAATAATCGATTGTTTTTACTGATTTTGAGTATGTTTCAATCACATTAAATACGTTTATAAGTTATAACTTATAACCAAATTATTCAAATATGTATAAGTAAAAAAAATGTGCACCTACTATTGCATATTCACTAGTAAATGAATAATTAATTTTTATTTTTTTGTATTTGTTGACATAATACCTATTATTAATTAAATTATTATTTTAAAATAACAATCGTATTAATACTCAACTATTAGTGCGTGTAATGTATGTATACTATTATTGAAATATCAAATGTACTAATTCAATTACGAAATTAGTATAAATATTTACAATTGAAAGACACGGTAGACAACAATTCAAATCATTTTGGGATCGTGAGAAAATTCGATTAATATCTCGATTATGACAATCTTACAATTAACGATAATTGTCAAAAGAAAAAACAAAAAATGGTACTAATGGTAAAAAGTACACACAAACTTTTCTTATCGAGAGATAGTTCAACGCTGATAAATACTAGTTAAAAATCGAATTAAAATATTTTATCTCGAGCCGGCTCTAAAAATCGTGAGACCACTTTGATAAGGAAATAGCTTTTTTAAGGGAACTAGAATCATGTTATCAACGGCCATAATTTTCCTAGAAGAGTAATTTTTGTAATTAAAAATATCTATTAGATATTTATTGTGAAAACATTTTATGCGGCATCTAGACATTTTCGCTTATGGAGTGATTTTCAAGCGTTATCTTTTTGCATAACACTTCAACCAAATCAGGTGTTAATCACGGTTGTTATACAGAACGGGCCAAATATACCCTCTATGTACGCCGTTAGTTGTATTATTTGAATCATTACTCATTCCATATATATATTTATGAATTAATAATGATTATTTTAATTACTGTTTTCATTTTTCCTAAAAAATTCTTCGGGAGTTCGGTTGAAGTGATCAAAAAATGATTTTTGTGTTAAAATTACTATGAAATGATATTGTCTTAACCATGGATGATGATAGCAAATAATAAAATAAAATATAACCGGAGGGTAGTTGCCCCTCAATAGTATCTGATAAAAAAGTTATGATTAAAAAATAAAATTGATTATTATTATTTTATATAAATTTGATTATAATTGTAAAAATCCATCGTTAAATTCAGGTGAAACTAAAAATCATTTTTTTTTTATATTTATGATTTATATAGCAACATGTTACAAAAAAATTTGGAATATTATAGACTGGTAGTAGAACACACAAATAGAGTTAAAAAATTAATAAATTACAAAGTAAAATTATTTACTTTTGTAGTTGAATACTTTTATCATATCATATCTAATTCGACAATAAATACTTCAAGAATATTTAAAATTAATGATTTTAATTGTTTGTATGGAAAAAGCTGGTTAATCTACTTTTTATTTGAATAAGGAATATTTTTTTGATTTTTAAGAGTAATAACTTAAACTAAATACGAATTGTAATCATTTGACGTATCGTTGAAAAAAGTAGGTCTAATGAGGGTTGGCAAAATAAATCATAGTCACAAAAAGAACCAAATGGTAAAATAATATTAACATGAATAAGAAATTTCTTCTCAAAAGGGAGACTATAGTGATAGGATTCTTTATATTTATTGGAGTTATTGAATCTAAATGAGATAAATATCAAATAATTTGAAAATTTTATTTGAACACAAAAAAAATGCAAAATTTTTTTAGCCATAGACGGAATTTGAACCTCGTACCCTTCGCGTGATAAATATAAGTGTTACCGACTCGGTAATTGATCGATGCTTTCGACTTTCGATAAAATTGTCTATTTAAACTTACTCAAATTTAAAAACCCAGCACAGGGGGGTCGCGGCACAGTGGTGACGTTGCATAGTTGGATCAAGTATTATGATATCTGACCGTGATTAAAATCACTATCAAAAAAAAAATTTTTTGTGAAAAAGTTGTAATTTTAAATCCCTCCCTGTAGGTAGGTAAAACGTCAGATTTATAAAAAGAATATGCCAAATGATAGGTAAAGACATCATGCATCTACAAAAAAAAGAGTTATATTGATCCATACATCTTTCAAAAAGTTATAGCATTATAAAGTTAAAAATATAAAAAAGACTTTTTTTACAAAAATCGTATTTTTTTATTAACTTTGATGTCTGTTTTCACCATGAAGATAAAATAGAGTCCGAAAATTTTTTTACCATAATAAAGAATATTACATAAGCTTTAATTTAAGATATATATAAAAGTGTCAGACCTTGCGGAACATTTTCAAAAGTTAAGTTGAAAAAGTTAATTTTTTGTAAAAAAATTGTCATTTTAAATCCCCCCCTGTGGGCAGTTAAAGGGTCAGATATAAAAAAAAAAATATACCAAATGAAAGGTAAAATTTTGAAAATTAGCGATTTTTAAATTTGTAATTTTTTTGGAGGTTTCCCCACTTTACGGGGAACGAGGGAAGTTTTTTCAATTTTTAAGGGTAATGTCTTCAACTAGATACGATTAGTGATTTTTTGACGTATTGTTGAAAGAAATCGGTCTAGTAAGAGCTGAGAAAAAGTGGCAACAGACATAAAAAAAAACACATCATGGTAAAATCAATACCTTCGCATCGAAACTAAAAATATATATGATATCTGTTAGTGATTAAATAGGCCAGTCAACGAAGGAGTAATTTTGGCGAATAGCGGAAAAAATTCCCAACCAAATTTTAAGCTAAAATAACACTTAACCTGCTCATTGGGGGGGAACTAACTTTTTCAACTTAGTTTTTGAAAATGTTCCGGAAATACTGCGTCCTTTAAACATATATTAAATTAAAGCTTGTTTTATGTGCTATAAAATGAAAAAAAAAAATTTGTCCTGATGACCTATCTTCTATGCGAAACCGATAGAGTAGGTAATTGATTTAACGCTATATTGTTTAAGCTAAACAGCTAAACGCTAAATTGTACATTCCCATACAACAATTATATTATGTCAATTGCCACCGTAATTTTTGCTAATAATAAAGATAATTGTCATAAAACGGCCTTTAGTCAGGTGCTGCAGCTGGTAAAAATTGTGGCTGCCGAAAAACAGGGCTTAAATGTTCTATAATATATAAACATTGCAAAGGTCAATGGCGTACAAATTCAATAGAAATAAAGATTAAAGAAAAGAAAATTGTACTTTTGTTGAAGATATATTCTATCAAAATTTAGAATGGGAAAATGAATAAGAAAATGGAAAAAAAATTTGTTTGATACATTTGTCAAATAACTTTATAGTGGAGAAATCCTCCATTGATTATATACAAAAAAAAATTTCGAAAATTAGCGATTTTTAATTTATTTTAAAATTTGTAATTTTTTGGAGGTTTCCCCCATTTACGGGGAACGAGGGAAATTTTTTCAATTTTTGAGGGTAATGTCTTCGACTAGATATTAGTGATCTTTTGACTTATCGTTGAAAGAAATCGGTTCAGCGAGAGCTGATAAAAGTGGTAACAGACACACAAAAAAAAAACACATCATAGTAAAACCAATATATTCTCAGCTTCGCATCGAAGCTACAATGTTATTTGATAAGTATAATTTTATTTTTATGCTGTATAGTGATAAATGAACACCTAACACAAAAATACTTACATTGACTAAATAAATATGAATAAATATTAATAAAACAAGTATACATAAATAATAATTTTACATATTTTATTAATATATGTAAATACTCTATACATATAAATTAAAAGTAATAATGGTAAAAGGCGTATAGGAGTAAGTTATTTTTTTGTTTAATTACGATTTTTATGATGTTGCTCACACGATTAATTTTCGTTTTTATGTTAATATGTCTTACTAGTAGCAGATTTAGTCGCTGTAAAATAAAGCCAGAACCAGAGCCAGAACCAGAGCCAGAGCCAGAGCCAGAACCAGAGCCAGAACCAGAACCAGAACCAGAACGAGAACCAATAGCAAATCCTGACGAAGTTACTAAATTTAATAATATTATTAATTCAATAGGATGGCATAATATAGATGGTTTTGGATTTGTAGACATGGATGATAGTTATGTACCAGTCAGGGAATGGGTCCATGCATTTCCTACTAACAATAATGTCAATAAAATCTATTTTGAAACAGTAGAGTATTATGCTTCAATGGCATTAAGTAAAATTTACATAGATATGCTAAATCATTTACGTAGTTACTATAGAGCTATGTCATACAAAAATAAAAAGTACCCAAATGAGGAATCTAAATTGACAAATTTGAAAAAATTAATCGAAATGTTTTCTACGTTTAAACCACTTATGTCTTGTATGGCTAATGCATTAAATTATTTTGTATGTAATAATAAGAATCTTGTACTCGATGTTCTCAACGAATCATTATTATTAACTGACGAATTGACTACTATTAACAACTTTCATAATTCAGACAACACTCTAAATTATGAATTTATAAATAACACACTTCAGAAAATTTATGATTTTGCTAAAAAACACGGAAATTTTAAAACAAAATACTTCTTTGAATTAACAGTTGAACGTTTCTTAAAAAAATATATTTCTGAATTGAAAAAACTACAATATAATTCTTTGTATAATAATCATATTGACCCAAAATTAAACTTACATGTTAAAGATGGTGTTTTCTTATTGTGCAGAAATTTTGGATTTTAATATTAGGAGGTATAATACATAATATTTATTTTTCTTTATTGTTCTTCCTTACCTTGTAATTTACAAACAACTAT